CATGTTTCCTCTGGCATTGTTGTATTTTTTTTTCCAGTCTCCCTCCCTCACCTTGCCTCGTCCTCTCTGCTAAATGACACTTTACTAGCTGTTTCCTCTTGTTAATTCCATGCTACTTTGCATTGTGCGACTCTGTAAAAAGCTCTTGTAAAACACACACACACCGCAACACAAAGTCGCCTCAACGGACACACAGGAGACAAATTACAATTACTTACTGTATACACACACATAATTACTTTAACATTTGCAGGCAGATGCATGAAAGCACACAAACACTGCCATAAATGAGGGAGTGAAAGATCAACATATTCACTGGATGCTGGCACAGTGTACACCTGCTGACAGTCAGCTGCCAATGAAGATCTATCATTTTCTGCTAAAGCCTCATCATCAAGCATCATTTAGGCACGCTGGCCTGCCTCGCTCTCCCCCGATGCACCGTCTGTGCCAAGACACCGATTAAATTTCCCCCAAATGCCCAAACAGCCTTGTGGGAAAAGGTCTTCAGTTAATGAACTGGCTTTTGGCTCCATCTAATGGTCACTAGAAAAGACTCTAATCTTTAATCCTACTTGTAAGAGCTGGAAACAACAACTGATGGGTGGAAGTACGCCTGTCTTCAAACTATTGGGTAAAACTTTTTAAATTCTGCTTAATTTTAAAACGATATATCCATTGATATTATTGGCTTTTTACTGGATTTGGTGTCTGCTTATTGTTATTAAGGTCAGTTATGACCAGGGGTGCAACTGACAATTATTCTCATTGTCGATTATTTTCTTGATTAATCAATTAGTTGTTTGGTCTATAAACTGTCAGAAATCGGTGTTAAGTGTCCATCAATGTTTCCCAAGTCCAAGATGACATCCCCAAATATCTTGTTTTATCCAAAATTCAAAAATGTTCAGTTTACTGTCATAAAGGGAGAAAAGAAACCAGAACATATTCACATTTAAGAAGCTGAAATCAAAGAATACTGATTTTTTTTTCTTTAAAAAAATACTCAAATTGATTAATCAATTATCATATTATTTGGCAAGCTGCAGCTCCAGTTATAACAGTTAAGATTTTAAAGGTATACCATGCGGGATTGTCGGTTACCATTTGTAAACTTGCTTACCAGCAAAAATAGAGGTAAAAGCCAACCCAAGATTCACTATCGTTTGGCGTTTTGGCTAGCTGGTTGCTACCTTTTTATAAAGCCCCGCCCTCATCTGAGTGCTGTGGAGGTACACGCCCATAAACGTCTCGAACAAAGAAAATAAGAAAACACAGACAGAGGGCAGAGTCTCTGTGAAAAAATACACCGCCACACACTGTGAGTGGGTCATACGGGATGATTGAGAGGAATGACTTTTGAATAAGGCTATACTTTGGTTTCTCTATGGAAAGCCCAAATGAATACATTCCAGTATTAATAAATGTTTTCCTCGTAAGTATTGATATTTTAATCATGATTAACCTTTGTACAAATTATTTTTCTTATTGTCTGCTGAGCATTGTGAAATTTTTTTTACCATGTCGAAATTATTTATTGCCGACTTCATTTTAGTGTGTGTTCACTGTTCTGTCAGCTGAAACAATTAGTTGATACATAATCTGACAGAAAACAATTATGACAACTACTACATGCTATAAATTCTCTAAACACATAAACACATAACAACAAATATGGCAAATGGTAATAATTATCTTTAATATATATTTGGGTTCTGGACAATCAGAAGGACAAAATAAGACATTTAAAGACTTTAGGCAATCAGAACTTGTGATGGACATTTTTTCACAATTTTGCAACATTAAATAGACTTTTAATTGGTTGATCAGTCGAAAAAATAATCAATTGATAACAAAAATAATTATTAGTTGCAATAGCATCAGCTAATGCAACAAACCAGATGTTTGTTTGGATGCAGTAACAGACGTAGTAAGTGTCCCCAGAACAAACAGCTCGGGGAAACTACATAAATAGTCTGGTGTGCAGGGACCCTTATGAAAACAAAACACCATCTTTGCGTACACATGCAGCTCGTCCACACTATTTATAAGCCTTTACAAAGCCTCTATAGTATGTGTAAACTACTCCTGATGTGGTACCCAAATAAAATTATGACTAGCTGTGTTCACAGACAGCTGATTGGACCAGTTTCTACTTTCACAAGAGAGCAGCTATATAGACTACATCTCAGGAGGTGGTATTAACCTTTATTAACCTTGGTAACTTTTATAAAAAAAATAACCTTTTGTCATATTTGCTGAAACTGTCACTATGTTCACACAGCAGTACATGAGACATGAGGCCAAATATCTTCAGCTGTCAGAGGCCTGTAGAGAGAGTGGTTGGAGGGCCTGCTGTGAGCCAATCGAAGTGGGCTGCAGGGTTTCCCGGGGCAATCTGTGCACCGGGCACTCGGGCTCCTTGGCATCAGTAGGTTGCAGGAGAGCAAAGCCACCAGAAACATCAGTGAGGCTGCAGAAAAAGCCTCAAGGTGGCTGTGGGTCAAGAGAGCTGATCCATGGTGTAGCGTGCTGCTTGGACACAGACCAGGGACTGATCACCCCCGGGTGTGTCGCTCAGGTGAGGGTGTCTGATGATCAAAGACCCAAAACACCTATGACCCTGGGTTTATCACTGATGATGCGTCCAAGCCACGCCATCTAGATGTTTCGAATAACTCTAGAGATAATCTGTGAAAAAATGAATATATACTCTGTCTGCTCTACTGTACGGCTAAACAGTACACTAAAATACACTGCCTGGCCAAAAAAAAAGTCACCACCAAAAAAAAGGTCATACACTCTAATATTTCGTTGGACCGCCGTTTTTAGCTTTGATTACGGCACGCATTCGCTGTGGCATTGTTTTGATAAGCTTCTGCAATGTCACAAGATTTATTTCCATCCAGTGTTGCATTAATTTTTCACCAAGATCTTGCATTGATGATGGTAGAGTCTGACCGCTGCGCAAAGCCTTCTCCAGCACATCCCAAAGATTCTCAATGGGGTTAAGGTCTGGACTCTGTGGTGGCCAATCCATGTGTGAAAATGATGTCTCATGCTCCCTGAACCAGTCTTTCACAATTTGAGCCCGATGAATCCTGGCATTGTCATCTTGGAATATGTCCGTGCCATCAGGGAAGAAAAAATCCATTGATGGAATAACCTGGTCATTCAGTATATTCAGGTAGTCAGCTGACCTCATTCTTTGAGCACATACTGTTGCTGAACCTAGACCTGACCAACTGCAGCAACCCCAGATCATAACACTGCCCCCACAGGCTTGTACAGTAGGCACTAGGCATGATGGGTGCATCACTTCATCTGCCTCTCTTCTTACCCTGATGCGCCCATCACTCTGGAACAGGGTAAATCTGGACTCATCAGACCACATGACCTTCTTCCATTCCTCCAGAGTCCAATCTTATGCTCTCTAGCAAATTGAAGCCTTTTTTTCCGGTTAGCCTCACTGATTAGTGGTTTTCTTAAGGCTACACAGCTGTTCAGTCCCAATCCCTTGAGTTCCCTTCGCATTGTGCGTGTGGAAATGCTCTTACTTTCACTATTAAACATAGCCCTGAGTTCTACTGTTGTTTTTCTTCGATTTGATCTCACCAAACGTTTAAGTGATCGCCGATCACGATCACTGAGGATTTTTTTCCGGCCACATTTCTTCCTCGAAGACGATGGGTCCCCACTATCCTTCCAGTTTTTAATAATGCGTTGGACAGTTCTTAACCCAATTTTAGTAGTTTCTGCAATCTCCTTAGATGTTTTCTCTGCTTGATGCATGCCAATGATTTGACCCTTCTCAAACAGACTAACATCTTTTCCACGACCACGGGATGTGTCTTTCGACATGGTTGTTTAGGAAATGAGAAGCAACTCATTGCACCAGTTGGGGTTAAATAACTTGTTGCCAGCTGAAAGATAATCGCCCATGCAGTAATTATCCAATAGGAGGCTCGTACCTATTTGCTTAGTTAAATCCAGGTGGCGACTTTTTTTTTGGCCAGACAGTGTATGTTTCTGAAGACATCTGAGGCGGGAAATAGACAATGCAGTGACAGAATTGCCGAGTTTCTACAGTTTGACCTCAGCCCATGAGCAGTGATTGAAATATTGACAGCTGCGTTAGAGACTCCTCGGCTCCGAATGGTTATTTTCGGTGCACTGTGGTCGATTCTAGCAAACGCCACAGAGGTACTTCAAGGAGGAGGAGGAGGAGTGACATAATTCTTTCTTTATAGACTCTCTGTCTCATGTAACACTTTGCGGATGTAGTGATAGTTGCAGCAAATATGACAAACATTTTCATACAACTCACAAACTGGTGCTTTAACTCTGGTTATTTCACACAGTTCCATTTCACAGCAGTTTACCTATAATTTGTTCAGTACTTAGACTTCACACAAACACCACCTCTGCTTTCAGGCTGCTCTGCCTACTTTTGAAGTTTCCAGGTGAGCCAGTCAGCAATCCCCTCTGATTTCAAACCTTTTTGTTGCTCTTGTGTTCTCGTATACTGCATGTACACTACTTTAAAGAAACTCTACGGTACAAACCTGTTGGTAAACATATAAAAGCCTGTAGCTGTCCCTCCCACACCCCGAGAAGACAACATACCCATAATGAGCTCAAACCACCCTCACAGTTGTTTTGTGCTAAATTTATATACAGTAAATTCACATCGATACACAAACAGACTGGGGGCTGCGCTCAGTTCAGCACCAATTTTTTTAAATCCATAATCCTTTTCTCTTATTCTCCCACTGGTTGGCTTCCTCCTTCGTATTGTTCTTGTGCACGTGCTTCTTTTTCCCCCACTGAATGCTATTATTATAAATACTATTTTGTTGCAAATAGAAGAAATTAGTTGCTTATCTTGTTTTTCATTTTATTTTATCATGTGTGAAACTAGATTGTTGATGACCATGTTGGACGACCACCCTACACACTGATCCAGCTAAAAACACTCACTCATTTACACACACACATACCTGCATTGACAATAGCGTCTATCTCCAGCTTGGTGATGTCACCGCTGTAGAGGGAAATCTTCTGGTCCAACTTGTCATTCCTCGGGTAGAAAGGTTTTCCAGAACTGCCTGAAAATGACACACACACACACTGACTTCGTATCAATCAGTTATTGAAGCACCTCATGTGTAATATGTGATAAACTTGTGATGATGTTACATCTAATGTCAGTGTGTTAATGTTTGTGTGTGTGCTCCATTTTGTTGATTTGTGTGCATCAGAACTTTTACATATGAATGTATAACATTTTGCATACAAGGTACTTCCAGCTCTCCTTATGTTGCTCATAATTTGGCAAGTTATTTGATGTGATATGGTCAAACATCTGATAACACCAGGGGCTACATGCATAAATGATGTGTGCGCACAATAACCATACCTACACCTTTTCCCCACACATAAACTGGTATTCATAAAGGAAGCCTGTGCAGTGAGAATGTGTGCACCTCATTCTTCAGACCAGGCGCAAACATAGTTTTACCTGAGATAGCTGTGGGTGATATATGATAAGGAGGAAATTGCATATTAGTTGAGAGATGGAAAACATTGTTTTTGTTTGCCAGCTTCACTTGCATTTATAAAGCTGATTTTGAATCATTTCTGAGTGATAAATTTCAGCATTACTTTTGTTCACATTCACCCCCCGGTAGTGATCGTTTCATTTTATCCTGTGGAGCACTTTGTAAAGTCAGTTTTCACATGAGTGCGATGAATGCATCACTGATCATCCTTGTGACGTTTAATAATAATGATGATTGAGATTTTGCCACGATGATGGTTTAGAGAAATGTGATGAATTATTGGTGAGGATGCTACAAATATCCACAGCCATGCGTGATGACGCCTGCTCTGGCACCGTTGGAGAACCTCAGCGATGCAATGCAGTCGGTGAAATTGCTCTTCTGTACTGAATTTCTCACTGACAGGTTTAACGAGTGGTGGATGGGCACAAGTGTCAATATGCAAACAGATTTTAAAGGGCGTCATCCATTTATATGAACTGTGGGTGTGGTAATGAGGCTGAGATTTATAAAAGAAGAATCATGTGTACGCACAGCTTTATAAATCTGCCGAAAAGAATGCATGTGCACATTTTGTGGGTACAGTTTTGTGGGTAGTATTAGTGATGATGAATCTACACAGACTTGTATAGATCGGGCCCCAGATGTCTTTGTTTGCATCCCTCCGGTAAAGTCTCTCCATCACTACCACCCAACCCTGACTGAACCTGACAGTGACTTTGACTGATGTTGGGGTTCTGACCTGCAGTGGGAGTCCACACAGAGACTTGATCCAGTGGCACAAAGTCAGACGTCCTGTAGTGCTGACGCCTGTCCTTCACAGACAGAGACAGCAAGAAGTCTGAGAGAGGGAATGGAGAAAGGGCACAGACGGTAAATGATCCGTTAGCTCAATAAATATTTTGTTACATAGGTATTTATGTTAACGAACAGAGAAGCAGGGTAGCATTGGCATACCAAACTGAAGATGAGCTTGATGAAGAATAAGACAAAATAGTTTGTGCATACCCTCCTAATGAAACGGAAAATTCCTTCAGAAACTAGAGATGCACGTTATTGGATTTTTTGCCCATATGCTGATATATTACAACTCATGAGCCACTACCGATATATCCATGTTTTTTCTTACCTAATTTTAGTGATCATCAGATCTCTTCTGTAATGGAATTAGCATCATATTATCCAAGTATACTCTCATGACTCTCATGACGGCCTAACAGGAGATGGAGACATGAAATACAATACTTTACAGTGTATGTAATATTCGCTCATTGTGCAAAATAACAAAAAGCATGTTGGGCAATTCTGATAGCCGATTTTAAAGCCAATATTGGCTGATACCGATGACGTGCCGATATTATCAGCATGTTGGCCGATTACAAGATGTCATCTTAGCCAGTGACAAATATTATTATGCATTCCTAACAGAAAACTAAAGTAAGTGGTGTGCTATAAGACTATGGTACCCTGAAAGTACTTAATGGTCTTTGTGGAGCTTCTGCGCTCAAGCTCCAGTTTGTCTAAGTACAGATTTACTTTATGAAGACAGCAAAATACTATATGATATGAAACAATTCATAATCTTATAAATAATATCACAGAACAGGGGTCATCAACTAGATTTATCCAAGGGCCACAATCTTTCTTTCTGATTGGGTGGATCCGGTATGATAAAATAAGAGAATAGTTATTATCAGGGGTGGATTTCACAACTAGGCCCCAATCTAAAAGGGCCGAAACATTGATGATGTTCAGATATGAAAAATACTGAATACTATTCCAATTCATTGTACCCAAAAATAATTTACAAGAGGCCCCCCTTTAAAAAAACTTGTACTTTGGAGGAAAACATTGAACCTGACGGATAGATGTTACTGGTTATACTGCATATTCAGATTCTTACTCACAAAATACAATTAAATATGATACAATATTATTTATTATAAAAGGTACTTCAGGGCTGAAGTGTTAAGTTGATAGTAATTGTTATTCATTGACTCGTGTATTAATTACAGACATTTAATATTTGCTAGTTGCAGCGGTCCTTTGGTATTTTAGCTGTCCTTTTTTTTTCGTTTTTGGTTACTTAAATTGTGATGATGTGTTATGAATTTCATGATTGCATTTGTTTAGTCTTTATGTTGAATGTCATGTACTTCTTTGTGTTGTCATTGTCCTCTAACATCCTGGAACCAGGCTGGAAATAAGTGTTTTCACTTTAACATGTTATCCCTTGGATTTTTAGTTTCTTTATCTAATAATCCATAAATAAAGTCAATTAATTTATTAATTACAAGGCCTAATATCTACTGTTTTTCACCACTGGTCAACTAACGGATAGTTTTAAGACATACCCTTAGGCAAGGTTACTAGGATGAATATGGTTAAAGTGGGAAAATGGGCAAACTGGGACAGTTAAGCTTAATCATATTTATCTTTACACATGTAAACTTATATTACTAAAAATCATCATTGAGCTCATCATAGGTAAGTATGAGATTAAAAAACATTGGTTCTGTGTCGATGACATCACTTCTGGGGGCGTGGATCACCATATTCAACTCCCTCTGCAGTGACCCAAGATGGTAAGTAAAATGACATAGCGTTTTGAGGTGAAAGATGTTAGTGTTCTAGAAATAAGGAAACTGGTGGGATAGTTTGTGATATATTTTGTTAAGGGGTGTAATGGTGATTCATAATTTTCAAAAATCACATCCATGTGAATCTTACTCTTTTTTTAAAATGCCATTTTGTTGCTGTCCCACTTTAACAATACTGTTAAAGTGGGACAGTGTGTTATTGGCAAACTGGGACAACCATTCAAGTCATTATAAAGGTGGAAATAAGTTTCCTTTTTATTTATCCCTCATAAATTTAGCTATCTAGCTAGCTAGATATATCAACAAATTTACTTAAATTGCACAAATTAAGGTAGCTTGTAATGAAAATAATAATTGTGATGCTTATGCTAGCTAGCTAGCAAGCTCTTGCCCTGCCACCCCACACGTTTTGCATACTCCTGTTTAAATTGATCTAAAACAAAAACTATAGTAGCTAGAACATTCATTTGTTTGTGGGTGAAAGCTAAGACTTATGTCTTTTACATTATTAGCCTATGTTGCACATTTAGTACCAGTGATGATATTAAAGATGTTGCAAGTGTCCCAGTTTGCCAATATATGGTGTCCCACTTTACCAATAGCGCCTGGAAATTTTGGTTGTGGGTCAGTGTGTTTTTGGTGAAGGGTCATCCATCCTGTGTTTAAAGTTTCTGTGTTTTTTCTTCTACATAGTATAGTAGAGATCACAAGCTATTTAGAATGGTACGATATGATGGGCTAAGACATTTGGTTCATAACTAGAAATTATGTTGAAGGTAAATTTTCAGAAAGTGTCCCAATTTACCCATATTCACCCTACTTAAAATGCTCATTAGTTGCAGGCCAAATGCCAATTGTGCATGTATATTGTGAGTTTTAGTTTACTAACTCTACAATGATATTACAGAAGACAAAATGTTATGACTAATTTTACTCTTTCAGGTCTAATATGTTTGTATGGACTGGCTGCTTTGCTGTGATTAATGTTTGGTATCATCAGTAAAGACCATTACTGATGGTCGGTGGTTTTAGTCTTGACACAACTGACAGGTGGGCTGCGTCTATCAGCTGGACAGGTGTTTTGGTCACGTGACGGCCGCACGCTTCTCTTTTGTTTATTGACAAAGGATAAATGTTGTAAAACTAAATTAAAACCCCCTCAGCCTTGGTTGAACAGTCTCACCCTTGGTCTCCTTCCAGTCTCCCTCAGCGGAGTTCAGGTTAACTTTGAAGGCCATGGCGGTGACGGTTCCGGTGTGGAGACCCTGGAGCAGCCCGACTGTGCTCACTCCGAGGGCGGCACCGAGGGCTACCTTACCCAGCCAACCTCTCCTCCCCCGGGCTGAGGAGGAAGCCTTCCCCTGGCTGGACTTCCAAAGTGCTGCTGTGGTTGTCGTTGAAAACTTCTCAGCTCGGAGGGCAGCGTTAATATGGCCGCGGACAGGACTTGTTGCTGGCCCCGTTCCCAGCTGGGGGCTTCCAGAAGATAAAATGTGTTTGAACTTGACACCGGCTCCCTGGATGTCAGCACGGGCACGGGACAGAGAGCTCGTGCACAGTGGAGCTCTGATGTATGAAAATAGAGCTGATATTTGCAGTGCCATGGCTGAGTGACGCCGAGGGGGGGTAACGGTTCGTGTTACTAAAGCTCCACAGGAATCAATGTCAGCCACACCACTGTGGTCAGGTTTCGTTTTCGATACGACTAAACGTCAGTTAGTTCTCATCTCATGTGCCATATTTGTTTTGGACGTTCACATGTGGAATGTACCATTTACAAAGGGGTGCCGCTTGGCTGTCGCTAAACAACAAACTTTAAAAAAGTGTCATTAAGCGTTAGTACGGTGTCTAGTGGTGGTATTTAACGGTTAATATTATAACTAGTGAAAAGGGTACTACAATATGGCAAGTGCTGCTCTATTTTAACTCTGACAAGGGGTGTAACCCCCGAATCAGATGACATGGGAAAGCCGAGGCCAACGTCCACACGCGTACGCCTCCTTCACGACTATCGGAAATACTGATTTTATAAGATGAAAATACAACAGCTTTAATAAGATAAGTTTGCTACACTTGAAAGTTTGACTTGGGAGACATCCGTTTCTAATTACACCGTATATTAAAACAACCCTCTGCAGTAAGCAAGACGTTTGAGGGGGAATACCATCATCAATTCTACCGAAATTGCTAAACTCTGAACGTTATTCAATTCAATTCAATTTTATTTATAAAGCCCAATATCACAAATCACAATTTGCATCACAGGGCATTCAAGTGCATTTATTGAGCAGGGGCGTTTCTAGGATTTGAGGACATTGGGGGCTGAGCCCAGACCTCTGTAGAGGGGGTTCAGGGGGGCATTTTTTTTATGAACAATGGAGAATGAATGGGGAACAAGGTGATGGTGTGCTCGGCAGATACAATGTAAATAATTTAAGTATTGGATTGTGTTTTTTGTCTTTGTTTTTTATGTGATGGATGTAAATTTAATGTTTGTTTAGTAATTTCTCATTTGTATGCAGGATGTTTTTTCTTAACACTTGTGGAGGCGTGTCGTCTTTAAAATGGCCTCTCATTGGGCCGAAATCGGTCATTGATTTAATGTAAGCAGCCAAGGCTTTAAATTCAAGTGCGTTTGTTCCTGCTCAACCCATGAGTGCCTAAAGTTCATTTTTTCCTCCCACTTCTACTTAAATATTTCCATTTTATGCTACTTTATGCTTCTCTACATCACAGAGGGAATATTATAATATTTACTCTATTTATTTGTCTGCCTTAGTTATTTTAAGACTGATTATTATTACAAAATATAATCAACAAACAAATGATGTGCATAATTGTAGATTAACCTACCCAGCATTATATAAAGCATTTAAGATGAGCTCCGCCTTCACCAGCTGCAACATTAAAGTGATTACCAGTGCACTCTTTCTTTTGATCACACAAAATGTGCTGCTAGAATGACACAGAGGAACCATAACTTGCCTTTTTTATCAACTGTATCAAATTACTTTCAAGGGCTTTAATGCATTAATGGAATGGCATGTGATTAGATAAGGGGGTATTCAGAAAACAATCATGGCTGAACCCTCGAATGCCCAGGCTGAACAACGCCACTGTCATTGAGAGATCAGATACATTGTAATTGATGTCACATATACATATCACATAATTTAATTTTGTTAAAGTATAGTGTCATGTTTGTTTTTATATATGTCTTATTACCTATGCTTAAAACAGACTCTCTGGTCAAATCAGAAAACCCCTAATAAAAAACGCCCACCTGACAGCACAATTATTAGTGATGGCCAGACCGATTCGTTTCACATTTTCAGTTCTTTTGAGTTGATAGACTACATGTAAATGTATCAAACTTTTAAAAGGTCTGAGTTTTGATTCTTTCTGCAAAATATGGTGTCAGTTTCTCCATGACACTCCATTATAGTACATGCACGTCCGATAGCTAGTGCGGCCCGCCCCACAAAGCCTCTCTTCAATACATTGCCCATCAGGTATAAGTTTACATAAATATAGATAAAATATTAATTTTCATACATTGATTCAAAATCCCACTTGTGTGTAGGTGAGCTATGTAAGCTCATGTTACATAAATGTCACAGACCAATGATTTGTTCTTTGAGGGGCAAGTAGCAGACATCCCAGCAGAGTGCCTCAGGAATGAGTCCTTCATTCATTAATTTATTTCATTCATTCAACCACTTATCCTGGTACAGGCAGGTGTGCTAGAAACAGACAACCATTCATGCTCATATTCACACCTACAGGCACTTCAGAATCATCAGTTAACCTATGGTGCATGTTTTTGGATTACGGGAAGAAGCCAGAGAACTCAAAGAAAATCCACACAGACACGGGGAGAACATGTTTGCAGGAATAAGTACTAAATTAGTACTAAAACCTAGAAATGAGTCAGCATTTTACAAGTCCCACCTCCCTCATATCAAACTGAAGGTTTTTTTTTAATGGGTTTTTGGTTGGATGGCTGAAATAAGATCTGTGGTTAACACAAGCTTAAGAGCTGAACACGGCTTTACAGTCTTGTCATGTCATGTCATGTGACCACAGTGTAGTTCATTCATTGCCTAACATTAGCTTTTTACTTCTGTTGATTTTATTTAGGTTTCAGTGATCATGAAAGTGTTGTTCATTTGTGGAGATTATGTTGCTGATCAAAACGTGCAAGTATCAAACATTTGTTTGCCACAGAGCTTATTTTCGGAAAAATCCAAATTCCAATGGAAAAATCCCAAATGCTCTTCGACAAAGGAACCAGCTCAAAGATAAAAGTCATCCTTGGGGAACTCTATTGCCCTGAAGATACAGTTTGTTGCCCCCTAGTGGATTGTAACCCACAACTGAATGTCAGAAAAATGGTCTCGTTTGTATTTTAAGTAATATTAAATGATTATTTAGAGGTAGAATTATTTTCTTTGTTTATCCCATAGACAGGAGGTATTATGTTTTTGTTTGTTTGTTTTAATTTAACCATCTCATTGTAACTATTCGTATAGAGCATTAAACCTGCTGTATTTTTGAGCAGGAAAATGCCAAGTTACCAGTTCTCATAGCTAAACATTTGTCTATTTATTCTTTACTCTGCATCTGACATGTCATCAACAGCTGCTACTAAAATTAAGGATCCATGACCCACACCCTTACACAACTTATTACTGATCTTGCAACACAAAAAAAATGATTACTAATAAGTTAATTATATGTGTGACTACAATTCTCAAGGAAAGGGAAAAGAGGAAACAAAGAGAGGAGATGGATAATGTGTGTTGTCTGCCCATACCCAGCCTCCCACATAAACTGTATGTGCACACACACACACACGCACACAATGCCTGGCATGCATCACACACTCAGCCTGTCAGTCAAACCCTGAACCCTTTTCACATTTCCGCCTGGCGGAAACTGACAAAAAAAGGAACAAGCCTCTCTTGACAAAAGTTGACACAAGTAGCGCAGACACAGCTACACAGACCACAACCTGCCCAGCCCAAGAAAGGAGAAACTGCTGCACATTTTCACACAAAAAAACTGGGAACTTCTTCTTCAGAGATCTGACAGAGACACAGGAGTGCCCCCAGTTTCTTTCTTTTCAAAACCTGGACAGAGGAGACTGACGGTATTGTCTTTCAAAGTGTGTGTGTGTGTGTGTGTGTGATGAGTGCGTGAGAGAAAGGGAGAAAGCATGAGGGTAGCGAAAGCGTCAAGGCAGCAAGTGTACGTGTGAAGCTTCTAAATATGCACATGTGGGGTCATTATTAGGTCACATCAATTGACAGGATATAATGTAGGAAGTGAATTTGTCTCAGATCAGAATTTACATTCAGGAATGTGCAGATATAAAAAGTTAAGGCCTCCAAAAGAGGAAATTAGGGGTGCAGGCATGTGTAGTCAGTGTTATACCGTTGTATGCGATATAAGTGTTTTTAAAATACAGATAAATGAGGCAAAGACACACACTTAAATCCTTAAATTAATATATTGAAGATGGGGTTACAGTTTCATACACAGGCAGTGTGTGTCTCTGTATTGACATTGGATGAACATCTCACCTTGGGCGGGCGGGTCAGAAAGCGGAAGTGTGTCTCCCTGGTGATAGTTCATGTCAGAAACAGGAAGTGCTCATCAAACTGGACATGTTGCCAGAATCGACTCATCCATCCAGTGTGTGTGTGAGTGTCAGTGTTGCTCAGTATCATGTGATACTGACCCATTAGTTAAAGTCTTTTTCCTCACAATTGATTGGCTAAAGTTTGACTGACAGGTCATCTATCCTCTCTGTCTCATCTGATGTCCTGAATGTGAAGCAGGACTTTTAATATCAAATCTGTCGAGTTCTGTCACACTTTTTGAATGTTTATTTATAACTTACTTATCTCCAATTTTCACTGCAGTTTTATACTATACTACTCCATCAAATTATGGAGGCCTGTTAGTCATTTTTAAAGTTAACATTAATGTGTTGCTTTAGAAAGTTTAAAATTGTTTTCTTCAGGCATTTTAACAATTTATTCATGATTCAAAGTGTATAATTTCTCACTTGTGACATATATGGCTCCCTAAAATAATAATCGCTAACACATTCAATTATTCAGTTATCATGATACATCTGAGCATTTTTCATGCCAGACCTGAATAAATGGTGGTGGAGCTTTAATAAATGTGGTGCAAAGACAAATGACAGAGTAACTTTACTGATTAATTGCAAGTCTTGTTTGTCTTTTCCTTGTCCTTGGCTGCTTTGTCTGAGCTGTCACACCAGCTATTTGCACCAAACAAAAACAAAAAAAGACATTCGTCACATAAACAGATCATTTAAAGAGCATTTGTTGAGCAGCTTTTCATTACAAGTTGTTATTCATTCGACAGTGTTACTAAATCTATCATTTCTTTGACTCTCTCCTGTGTTTGACTCCCCGGCTTTCTTCCCCTGTCTGTCTACTTCACTCTGTCAGACCTCTTTCCCCCGGTATGGCGGCCTGGGATCTGTCAGTCACAGTGGAGGACCTGGGGTCTGACGCGCCACCTGTCACCGTCAGCGTGGCCTCTGACCTCCACGTCGGAGGGGTCATCCTGAAGCTGGTGGAAAAGACACGTGGGTCACTCTCTGTCTGTCTATCGCAGTCTCTCTATCAGTCACAGCACACAGACTAAAAACAGTCACATAATTTTCATGGACACACAAGAATTCACATATAGTGTAAAGG